GGCAGGGGCCAGAGGAGCTCCCAGAGGAGATGGCATCTGAGCTGAGGGCACGCAGAGTTCTTTTCCTTTTTTCTTCTAAAATGTTTTTCTTCTTTACAAAGGTCAGTGTTGCAAGCGAGGGGCATTTATGAAAGGGAATAAAGCAGACCGTTCAGTCAGCCCTTCTCAGAGCCCACCACCACCTGCTTCTGCACCTCACTCCATCCACACACACGTGTTGCCACAACACCAGTAGCATTGTGTGTCTGTTAAACTGGGGTTTAGAAAAATGAGGAAAGAGTAGAAAGGGCAGTGGAGAACCTGGCTTTCCTGGCTAAGGGACCGGTAGCAAGAGGCTGGCCGGAGCACAGCTCACTGATGCCCTTGAGGGGCTCTGGGCAGCTGGGCTTCGGGTACAGGGGCCAGAACTCAAAGGGCCCTCAAGGCCTTCGGATTTGATCTGCTACTTGTGGGGAACCACTGAAGGGTTTTGAGCACGGGGCTGTCACTTCTGATCAACGGCTTAGAAAAGACCACTCTGAAAAGACCAGGTGCGGTGGCTCACGCCTGTAATCCCAGCACTTTGGGAGGCCAGGGCGGGTGGATCACCTGAGGTCAGGAGTTTGAGACCAGCCTGGCCACCATAGCGAAACCTCGTCTCTACTAAAAATACAAAATTTAGCCGGGCGTGGTGGCAGGTGCCTGTAATCCCAGCTAATAGGGAGGGTGAGGCAGGAGAATCACTTGAACCCAGGAGGCAGAGGTTGCAGTGAGCCAAGATCATGCCACTGCACTCCAGGCTGGGAGACAGAGTGAGACTCCGTCTCAAAAACAAAACAAACACACAAAAAGACCATTCTGGCCCCAGCAGAGTGCAGTTGGTGAAGGGGACAGCCCTGGGTGGCAGCTGGTGTTAGTAATTAACTCCAGGGAGCTGGGCCTGGACCAAGTCAGCCAGAGGGAAGGTTGAGAGGAGGAGAGGGCTGAGGCATGGGCAGGTCTTGGATGTCAGGGAGTCAGGGAGGAGCTGTCCTGCACTAATGGCAGCTGCCTGGCTGGATTCTCTCCAGCAGACCTAGGACCTGACTCCAAGAGCCAGAGAAGCCCCTGAGAGTGTCCTCTCCAGCCTTGGGAGGAAGCCATCACAGAAATGCCCCACACCCTGTCCACCCACCAGACCTCGGTGTCCTTCCCAACGGCCAGGGAGCGGTGGGCCGAGGAGGAGTCGGGGCTCAGGAGACAGGTGGCACCCAGGCCCCCACCCATGTCCCCCCGATCTTCCAGCCCTTGCCTGGCCCTCTCCTTCCCCATCACTTCATCGGTTCCAGGAGCTAAGATTTGACCTCTCCCCTCATTTTCCTGTCTCCTAGAGAGCCCTCCAGATTCCTGTGGTCTCTTTCCTAGCCTCACGCCAGAGGACAAAGAGGGTTCTCCTTATTGTGTGGGTGAAGAAACTGAGGCCCCAAGTAGGCCTGGCTGTGCCCCAGTGCACGAGAATTTCTTTCCTGGAGGCCAGGAGGGGAAGTGGCCTCTCACCCCTGGGCCAGCACCCTCTCCCCTCTGGCCTTGACTGAGCACTGCGGAGAAGCCAGTTGCAAGTCCTTGCTGAGAGGGTGACGGGCCCAGGGCACAGGGGCTCCTAGAGCTTCCACGACTGTGGTCAGAGGACGGATGGCAAAGCTAATTCTCCATCCAGATCAGCCCACACTCCTGCTAGCTCAGGGCCAACCTGTGTCCCCCCAGCCTGCTGTGTCCCATGTTTTCTTGGTGACAAATGGCAGCTTCCCTTCCTAGAGTGCAGGAAGTTTACTGGGGACACCAGCTTGGTAAACTGAGGGGCCAGTTGGCATCTTGGCCTATATGGCTGCTTAGTGGGACTTACTGTCTCCACCCTGGTTTGGGCTCCCCTGGACCACAGCTGAGGCCACCAGCTGGGACAAGGCCAAGCCCCCATTCCAGATGCTCCACAGCTTGCACCCGGGAGGCCCAGACCCAGGGCTGGCACCATCCTGTCCCGAGATGTCTGGGGCATCCTGGGGCAGGTTCCCAAGCATCCTCTGACTTGGAGTAACCTCCCACCACCAGTACCCACCCAAACATACACAGCCAGGCCAGGCAGGTTTTGTACCAGGGAACTTTCTGCAGGTGTTTCCTCTCCATCTCTCAGGACGGGGCCCCCTGGATCCCTCCCGTTGGTGTAGTGGAAACTAGAGCTGCATTGGCGGCTGAGCCTTTGTTCTCTGCTGCCCCGGCCACCTCTGAAATGGGATCTGCTGTACTTAGGACACGTCTCAGTTGCTCTCGTGTAGCACGGAAACCAGACACTTTAATGTCTGTCCCTCAGCCAAACCAGGGGCCAAACAGGAGGGCAGAGGCCATATCCTGTGCATTACTGTCCCCAGCACTGTCCCTGGTATGTAATGGTGGCAATAATGACAACAACCTTCATCTCTAGGCATTCGCCAGGTAGACAGGGGTGCAGGCTCTGGAGCCAGGCCCCTATGTTCAAACTCCAGCTCTCCCGCCTACTAGCTGTGTGACCTCAGGCAAGTGATTTAACCTATTTCCTCTTCTCAGTTGGGATTGTGATAGTACCAGCCTCACAGGATTATTGTGAGAATCAAATGAATGAATGCGTATGAAGCTCTTAGCCCAGTTCCGGGTCCCAGGTGTCAGCACCCATCCTCCTCCTTATGATTAATTACCTGTTTACTGTGAGCTCGGCACCAAGTCAAATGCTTTAAATAAGTTACTTAATCCAGACAACTCCATTTCCCAGAGAGGGAAACCCAAGGTTCAGAGAGGTTGAGTAACTTGCCCAAGGTCCCACCAGCTAGTTACCTTGAAGATCAGGCCCCAAGCCCAGGCAGGCCGAATTACGCTCCTAGCCCCTGCCCCGCCCAGGCGGCAGGTGTCTGCCTGGTGAGCAGCGCCAGGGGAATGAAAACAAACAACACAGGTTGGCCTGGGTCTTGGAAACCTCTCTAAAGAATCACTTGTGTTTTGTTTGAAGGCTCAACCACAGGGATTATCTCTTGGAGTCTCCGCATAGGTTCAGTGTTGCTGACCTCCAGCAGGTGAGAGTGTCATGCTTCCCCCGCCCAGACCTCCAGAGAGGCCTCATTCCCGGAGAAGTCAGCAGGGAAGATGGGAGGGGGGGTGTCTGTAGTTTACTGAAGACAGCAGTCTGCAGCTTTTCTGCAGCTCAGGGTGGGTTGCCCTGCTGCCCCGGCTTCCTGGGCAGGGACGGATACCCCCAGCACCCTGGAATAAGCAAGCACTCCAGCAACCCCAGGATCACAGGAAGAGAGTTTGGAATACTCCTTTCTCCAGGGGGAGGGTGCAGTGGAGTCGGGTCTCATCTGTGAGTCCCATTAGCCCTGAGTGGCCTCAGTGCCCACGGGCTGGACGCTGGCTCTGCTCAGCCTGACTCAGGGAGGTTTGCTTTTCTTGCCCACGTGGAAATTGGGGGTAGAAGTTCTCCAGGCAGGGTGCCATGGCGCCTCAGTGCAGCTGCTTGAAAGGCCTGGGGCCTCAGTTTACCAGCCCCCCACAGATCGCAGACAGGGTGTATGAAGGATTCCTACTTGCCCTCCGCAGATTGCAGACGGGGTGTATGAAGGATTCCTCAAGACCCTGATCGAATTTGCCTCCCAGCACGTCTACCACTGCGACCTGTGCACCCAGCGCGGCTTCATCTGCCAGATCTGCCGGCACCACGACATCATCTTCCCCTTTGAGTTTGACACCACAGTCAGGTATGCGAGACACCCAGCCAGCCACCTCCCAGCCCCACCCTTCTCCCCACACCCACAGCCTGGCCCAAGCACGCAGGGCAGCAGGCCTCGCTCTATGGGCAGGAACGTATTGAACATCCACTTTGTGCCGTGCCAAGGGCTGGTGCTGCTGTTCGGGGCAGCCCATGCCCTGGGCAGTCATGGGCAGCTCCGGTCCAGCTCAGGGGGCAAGACAAGCTCTCCCAGGACTCCTCTGCCTTTATGGAACCATCGGTCTTCCTAAAGAAGAGGTGGCTGCCGGCTCTCTGCGTGGAGCCTCCTGGCGCCTCAGTGTATGCATGGGTTGAGGAGGGTTGTATGAGTTACCGATCTGCACTGTTGGCATGAGACCAGGCACAAAGTGGGCACTTGGTGGGTGGTACCTGCTACTGCCACTGCCTCTGTTGCTGAAATGATCACTCTTGCTCCCAGTTATTGCTCATTATCAGCAACCTCTCAGTGGAGAAATTCATTCAGACCTTCCTCAACCCACATGGGAGTGGAAAACTGAACTGGGAACATTAGTTCTTTTTCTGTCGGTGTTCACTGGCCTGGATTCAGCCCTGAATGGGCCTGGGGGTGAGTTTTTAAAATTATACAGTCTTGGCCAGGCGCGGGGGCTCATACCTGTAATCCCAGCACTTTGGGAGGCCAAGGCGGGTGGATCACTTGAGGTCAAGAGTTCGAGACCAGCCTGGCCAACATGGTGAAGTGCCGTCTCCACTAAAACCACAAAAGTAAGCTGGGTGTGGTGGTGGGCACCTGTTATCCCAGCTACTTGGGAGACTGAGGCAGGATAATTGCTTGAATCCGGGAGGCAAAGGTTGCAGTGAGCCGAGATCGTGCCACTGCACTCCAGCCTGGGCAACAGAGTGAGGCTCTGTCTTAAAAATAAATAAGTAAATGTTTTTAAATATGATAAATCCTTAATGAATTTCAAGCAGCATTTATTAAAAACTGCAACAGTACAGAGAAAATCAGTGTGCATTGTGTGACATATCAGTAAGCACTCTTTCGAGAATCTCCTGTTCCAGAACAGAGAGGCACGGCATGCGTGCGTGGGTTACACAGTATGTCACAGACGTATCGTGGGTTCTGGTCAAAAGTGCTGGCCAGCATGGCCACAGGGCAACCTCCAGCCCAGCTGGCACCAGCAGGCGTGCTGCTCTCTCCCCAGGTGTGCCGAGTGCAAGACCATCTTCCACCAGAGCTGCCAGGCTGTGGTGAAGAAGGGCTGCCCCCACTGTGCCCGCCGGCGCAAGTACCAGGAACAGAACGTTTTCGCCTGATGCCCATCTGCTGACCCCGTTCTGAAGGCCGGGGGTGAGTGCGGCTCAGCCATCCCAGCTGGGTTTGCCATCAGCCCAGGATACTTACTGTGTCACAGCTGTGTCCCCTTATCAGGAAGACTCTCAAATGTGACCAGAGCACTGGCCTCCCAGAGAAAGCCCAGGAAGTCCCTCTGATGTCCCCTGGCCCTCTCACCACCCCTCTGCTGCAGGAGGCATGGCCACCGCCAGATGCTCCCTGTCTCCGGGCAGACAGGGCCTTTCACTCACCAGGCCCTGGCTCACCAGCGTCCCGGCACCTCCATTAGGGCTGCCCAAACACTGTGGAAAGGAGGCTTGGGGAGCATTTTAAATTCCACATTCCTGATTAAAAGGTCTTGTTTTATAAGGTGGGTTTTTCCATTCATATTTCAACAGAAAGTATTTCTGTATTCTTGACCCTACGTGAGTCACCCATGAAATCCGGACATTCTCACCCCCAGCGGATGCACGGGAGTCATTCAGGCCTGGCCTAGAGGCAGTGGGTGGCTGGCAGGCAGGCCACTGCTGGGACAGGGCCCACCTGGTGCCTTTCCTTGGCCTTCACTGCCAGTGCCAAACCGCCCCTCAGCAGGGGAAGGCCAGTCCTGGTGACCCCACTTCCTCTCTGTCTTTACTCCCCACTCCAGTGCATCTTGCCTGCTGAGCCCACCCCTTTCTCAGCGTCAGAGCCCCTAGCTCTTCTCTAGCCCGGGGCCTTGGCCCCATTCGGAGAAGGAGAAATGACTGGAAACCAGCACTGTCAGCACTTTGAGCCCTCCTCGGTTTAGGGAGGGTCACCATCTTGCCCACCCCCGATCCTCACTCCTCTATAGACAGGGGCGCTGCTGCAGATGCTCCAGGCCCACCTCGGTGGGTGCCCGGGGTCACACTCTCTGCCTGACTGACTCCTGCCAGGGCACAGACAGGCAGGACCCCAGAGAGGGCAGGCAGCCCGGCCCTGCACTGTGGAGAAGTGACCCGGCCCTTCGCCCTAAGCTGTGCGGGGTGTGCCGGGGAGCTGCCCTGTGGATGCAGCCGCGGCCTCACAAAGCCATGAATTCCCACAGCATCACTGAACTTGCCCAGCTAGGACATGGAGACTGAAGAACTTCCCCAGAGCAGGACTGCCTTTGAAGGGGCCTTGGGGCTGGGGTGGGAGCCTGGAATTGTTTTTGAAGTGAAGTTCAGACCCTCCAGGCTTTGGGGGAAATGTGGGTTTGCTGGTCTCTCTGTCACCTTCCCCCACCTCTCCTGGACCCAGCAGGCCCTCAGTCCTAGCTGTCTTACCTGCGCTCAGCTTGGAGTCTGAGGCCTCAGGTGGAGATCTGCCTGTCACTGTCAGAGATGAGCCCACCCTCACCCCTCCCTGGAGGCGATCGGCTGCTGAGTCACCCACCCAGCCTTGGAGCTGGATGCCTGTGCAGCAGAACAGAGGCAGCAGTGGCAGGCAAGTGGAGGCTGCACACAGCTTTTCCAGGTCATGGCACACACCCGTGCCCAGATGCCAATGCCTCCTAAGCCAGGAGCTGGGTTATGCACCTGCCATGGCCCACATTAACTCTCCCCCACAAGCCTGGCCTCGTCAGAGCCCTCATTGCCCCATCCCTGAGTGGGCAGGAGCCTGGCCTGGGGAGGGCTTGGGCCTGTGAGGATTCTTCTCGAAGGCGCCCTCAGAAACAGACTAATTCTCAGGGAAATCAGATTGCGGTAAAATGAGATAGAAATAGACAACATTCAGATCTGAGATTTCCTGTCCTTGAAGGCCCCTTTCAGATTACAAGTTGGCATCCTCTGCCCATCTAGGTGCCGCAGCTTCCCCCAAGGACAGTAGATGGTAGGCCCAGAGAAGATAAGAGAAACTGGGGGAGGGAGGCCCAGTGGAGGGCCACGGCATGTGACCTGGTTCTGCCCTGCAGGTGGGCTCAGCCCTTCTCCATCCTCAACAAAGCGCCTCTGAGGGCACTTGTTTCCCCTTCTCCCCAACTTTTTTGTTGTTTGTTTTGAGATGGAGTTACTCTGTTGCCCAGGCTGGCGTGCAGTACCGTGATCTCAACTCACTGCAACCTCCACCTCCCGGGTTCAAGCAATTCTCTTGCCTCAGCCTCATGAGTAGCTGGGACTTCCCCTTCTCTTCTGCCTGAAGGAGGAGGGGTGGTTTGCAGATTTCAATCCAACCCCCAAGAGCTCATCACATAATATAAGTGTCATAATAGCTGATATAGGTGGGCACGGTGGCTCATGCCTGTAATCCCAGCATTTTGGGAGGCCAAGGCAGTCAGATCATTTGAGGTCAGGAGTTCAAGACCAGCCTGGCCAACATAGGGAAACCCCATCTCTACAAAAATACAAAAATTAGCCGGGCATGATGGCAGGGGCCTGTAATCCCAGCTACTCAGGAAGCTGAGGCAGGAGAATCACTTAAACCCAGAGACGGAGGTTCCAGTGAGCCGAGATCGTGCCACTGCACTCCAGCCTAGGTGACAGAGCCAGACTCCACCTCAAAAAAAGAAAAAAAAATAGCTGGTATATTGTGTGCGCTGGGCATGTGGTAAGCTCTGTTTAGTGGACCTCATTTAATCCTCCCAATAATCCAGCGAAGTGAGTGTTACTATTGATAGGAAAGAAAGCTGAGCTGCAGAGATAAGGCAGAGCTCCCAAGGCCTACCAGCCGCCAAGCAGCAGAGTAGGGTATCATACCAGCCTGACCCCACCAAAGACCATCACCGCTGCCTGGCTGTGCTGCAGGTGGGGAGGCACCTAAAAGGTAGGGAGGGAGAAGATTCCTTCAGTCACTATTTTCTAAGCATGTCGGGCACCAAAGACGGATGCCGAGTTCTGCTGTGTGCCTACCCTGGAGGGTCCCAAGGTGCCACCAAGCCTCAGACACACTGAGATTATCAGAGGAAGTGGGGACTCACGGGTGGCAACGCCTAGCAGGGACAAAGATACAGAGGTAAGGGAGTTCCAGAATGAGCGTGGCCAGATTCAGCTTCCCACCCAACCCTGGACCCCCAGGAGGTGGTGTCAAGAGGGGCCATGGCCTGGGCTTCGGGCCCCTCTTCCTCCCAGAACACTGGCCTGAATCAGCCAGCTCCTGGCACACACAGCCAGGTCCACAGGCACAACTGTTCTTTGGGGCCCCTGAGGGCAAGGGGTCTGCTGGGGCTGTGGCTTGTGATGTCTGGAGTGAGCGCAGGCTCAGATCAGGGCGAGGCAGCTTGTCCAGAGAGGCAGGTAATTCCCAAACAGAAGACCCCCAAGGCAGAGGGTCCTGGGGCTGGACTCCTGGCCTCTAGGAGGTTGTTCTGAGCTTACCCTGTGGACAGATTGGAGGGTGGCCCTCCTTACCCGCAAGGATCAAGAGGCAGTTGGGGATGGTGGGAAGGTAACCTGGCCAGGAGAAGCTGCGAGGGGGAGGCTCCTGCCATCCTCAGTCCCACCATCTGAGCCCCGCGTCCTCTTCCTCCCTGGAGACAGCCAGGTGTGGCCCAGGATCCCGGGAAGTGCAGAGGAGGGGGTGGTGTCTTCGCTCTTCAGGCGCTGGCCTGGCCCAGAGGGGTCAGGAAGCCAGGACGCCGGGGATTGTCTCTCGCAACTGCAGCCCAGACCCAGTCCGGGAGGAAGTTCTGCCAGGCGCTCTCCACCGATGCCTTCCTAGTTATATTGCTGAATAGGAAACCGGGCAGCGCGGTGGAGTAGCGAGCGCTGGACACCGAGCCCACGCGCACCCGCTGGGACAAGTGGAGGCGAGGCCGGCGAGCGGACACTCCAAAGTGCCTGGGCAGGCAGTGGGCCGCCGAGTAGGGATTGAGGTGGGAGGTGGGGTGGGGGTGGGGCAAGGGGCAGGATCCGGAGGAAAGTGTGCGGCAGGTGGCGGGTCCGCACCAAAGAGCTCCTCGCCCTTCTCCTCTTGTCTCGGTGCTGGGGCGGGGGCTGCGCAGGCCTCATCCCACGGGGAGGAGAAGGTAGGCGAAGGGCTGCCCTCCATCTGGAGGCAGGAGGGGAGCAGGCCCAGGCCCCCAGTGCCGACCCAGGCGTTGACGCCGCTGCAGCTTGTGTCACCTCGGCGGTGGACGCAGGGGACCTCCTGGGGACTGGTGCGATCTTGTGCTCCAGGGATCCTCCCGGCCCCCACCAATCCCTCCCCTTCTCTGTGTTCCCCCAGGTTGGCGAAGGAGCTGTAGCCGGGTCCACGTCTTATCCAGCCCGAGACACTGCGCTCCGTTGGGCGTCCCTGAGCTGGGAATCCCGCTCGGAGTTTTTCCAGGCCCGGCCGGGCTGGAAAGGCCCCGGTGGGGGAGGTGGACCCGGAGCGGTGGGTCTGCAATCCGGTTGGAAGGACTCGAAGTGGGTGATTCAGGGTGCGAATAACCTCCCCGCGAGCAGGAACGCCCGCACGAGACAACCAGCCCCAACCCGGCATTCCCAGAGCCGCGCGCGGGAGGGATGCAGGGACTCCGTGACAGCAAATCCCCGGGGGAGAAAGGAAGGGGGAAGACGGGGCAGGGGCAGCCCCACCCTTCTTGGGCTCCGCTAGCGACCAGCCAGCGCCCCTTCAGACGCAGCCTTTCTGGCTCCCGGCCCCGGCCTTCTGCTCCGGGCCTCGTCCCAATGCCCCGCAAGGTCCCCAGCAGAGGCATTCAGGCTCCTCCTCGCCCCGCCCAGACACAGCTGCTTTGGGTATCGGTGACAGCACTCCTGAGCGTCCCTGTCCCTATTTGCTGCCATTGCCAGCTCCGATTCCGCGCAGCCTCTCCGGCCTGGCCCCTGGAAGCCCGGCCCAGGGCGATGGTAGGGGCCTAACCTGCCGGCTCCGCCCACCGGGCCCTTGGGCTCCCTGAGACCAGCCCAGCCGACGTGAGTGCGCTACGGGGTCCAGGGAGAAGGGGCGCCGGGGGCAGCGTCCACCTTGGGGTTTGTTGGCTCAGGGCAGCTCGATGACCCCGCCTCCGGGGCCCAGTGTGCGTAGTGACTCAGTGTACACCCTTTCCTCGTCAAGAAACGCTTGAGAAAGTGGCGAAGGAGCCCTACGGGGGCCTCGGTTGGACCCTGCTTCTTCGGTCCCTCAGCTTCGGCCAGCGACGGTCTCCTGGCCCCTGGTCCGGGTCACCTTAGGGGGCAGGAGGAGGTGTGGTCAGTGTGGGAGTCTGGAGGGGCCATGCACTTCCGGAGAAGACCACTGACTCGTGGCTTTGGTGGAGGGGCGCAGGTAGATTTAGTTAGGCTCTCCCCCATCCCTGACACACCGGTGCCAGGGCGGGAGTGGGGCTTGTGACCACTCCGGAGAGCTCTGGGGGCCCCTGCTCTGGGACTCCGCACGGATAGTCACTGTCTCAGAGTGCATTCTCCAGGGGCCACTCTCCTGGGGGCACTGTAGGGGTCCCAGGGCAGGTGGGCAGCCTTTCTCCGGGGCGGCGTGAGAGCCGGAGAGCAGGGGGCGGGGCGGGCCCGGCTCGGGCTCACGTCTGCGTTGAAACCGCTGGGGAAGGAGAGAGAAATCGAGAGAACCGGTTCCCCCGCCTTGACAGCGGAGGCCCCCACACCAAGGCCCTTCGACTAAGTGGGGCAGGGACAGCCCCCACGTAGAGCTCTTCGCCGGGGAGTCTGCAGAGCCCGCATCCCAACCCCGACCCAGGGGCGGGGGCGCAGGCTCGCGGAGGGAGGCGGTGCTGCGGCCCTGCGGATTCTCTGCCGGCACAGGAAGGTCACGTGAGAGAAAGGCCATATAACACTTACCTGAAGTGGCCACTAGAAGCTCAGCTGGTCAGGGGGGTGCTGAGGGCAGAGGGCAGTGGTCAGGAGTGAAGTGAGGGTGCGAACTGAGCGTGTGGACAATGGGCAGGAGGAGAGAGACACAGTGTGGCCAGAGGGGGTGTAAGTCATGGATGGAAACGTGGTCCCCAGGTTCAGGTGGGTGGGCAGGAGATGGGGAGGCTGAAGATGGGGAGGCTGAAGATGGGGAGGAGGTCGTTGCTGAGAAGGGATCTCAGAAGAAAGTGGGTGCAGAACACAGGAGGCAGGATGTGGGGATGGCATGGCATGGGGGCACTGGGGAGCATGTGGGGATCCCCCTCTATTAGGCAGCAGCTCAGGGCTTAGGGCAGGCCACCGGGCAGGGCC